GGGGGGGGGGGAGACTTGTTTCCCAGCCTGAGGTTTCACAGGCATCTCTGCAGGGGGTTGTGCACCTGCCCCAGCCCCTGCCCAGTCCCCTGCTGTGCTCGCACTGACTCAGAGAGAGGGCTGTGGGAAGGGTGGGCCAGCCTGAGCTGGGCAGGGTACCAAGGTCTCAGCTGGGCACTCAGGCCAGGACTGGGACTGGGACTGGGACTAGGACTGGACTGGGACTAGGGGAGGCAATGAAGGGACAGGTTGTCCTGTCCTGAAAGAAGCTGAAAGACCAAGAGGCTGAGACCAAGAGAACAGAACCCAGGGAGGTCATGAGGGCTGGTTCCCATGAGGCCATGGCTAGGGGCTGGCCCAGCAGGCACCTACTTGGTCCCTGGGCCCCTCAGGTGGCTGCCTGATGGACTCTCGAAGGTGATAAGGCCTCTGGCCAGCCTCCAACCCCTGGACTCCAAGTCACCTAGGACAGTGTTGGCTGGGGTGGGGTGGGGTGGGGAGTAGGCTAAGATCTCCAGGGATGGCCCTGGGGAAGCCAAAGTTGGGGTAAGGACGAAGGCTATGCTCCCAGGCCGCAGGACCCTCTATCACAGGTCCGCACACCCACTGGAGCCCTGGCCCTCTGCCCGCGAGATCCACGCCATGCTGGCATCTCCCTCCGCCCTGCGCCCTCCTGCCTTGCTCCCTTGGTTTCTGCATTTATGCCCTGACTCCCTTGTTAGACTGAGCTCCCAGAGGGCCGGCAGCCTGGCCCACCCTGGGTACCAAGGAGAGTTTTTAAATAAAATGAAGCACAGGGACTGGGCAGGTTCATGAAGAGGGACAGGGGCTGCCAAGCATCAACCACAGGTCTGAAGGCATGGGGTAGGTGGGGAGGTAAGAGACTAGAAGGGCAAGAATCCAGGGGGGTCCTTGCTGGGGGGAGGGAACAGACGAAAGGCCGAATGAGGTAGGCCCTGCCCGAAGGAACTCTTGGCCCTCCATGGAATGCCCAAGGTGGTCCCTGTCTGCTCCTACATGATCCATGTCCTGCTCCCAGGCACCACCTGAGCACACAAGATTGCGCGCCCATGCATGCAGCACATGCACACTCTGGCACACATGCTAGCCTGCAGCTTCCCGAAGCCTGGGGTGCACCTCCAGCCGCCTGTCCCCTGACCACAGAGGCCAGGCTCTCCTTGGCCATGGGTGTGCTCTCCTCCTGGTCCCAGTCCTAGTGCCTGATGCTGACCTGGGGCCACAGAAGAGGTACCCAAAAGGCAGAGGGAAGGGGGAGCCACACCCTACTGCCAGAGGCAAGCAGAGGTCCCCGGCTAAGCTTGGGACACCTGTGGGTGTACACAGTGCCTCAGGTCCAGGCTTCAGTGTCGGGCAGATGGAGGCCTGGGAGGCCTCCCCACCCTCCAGAGTCCAAAGAGCACAGGTGTGGCTGCCTTATGGCCTCACTGCCTGAGTTCAGCCCGCCTGCTGGGCACAGCTCACCTCATCACGGGGCCTCTGCCTGGCACTAGCGGAGAAGACAGGGGAAGACACTGCCCTCCTGCCACCAGCTCCAGTCACCAGCCCCCTCCGGGGGACCAGGCCTCACTGGAAGCCAGGTAAGACCCAGCCCTCAGGAAGGTAAGGGCCCAGATGGCTGCCGGGGACCCCAGGGTGGTGGGGGCAGCTCAGTGGTGTCCCGGGCCAGGGTCTCGGGCCCACTCCCAGGTGCAGCCAGGACAAGCAGCCCCACGAAGGGCGTGGGACTCAGCCGTGGACGGGTGGGTAGGCGGGCGGGCAGGCAGGCTGGGAAGAAGGCAAGGGAGCCTGGGCTCCAGAAGTTTCTCCAGTGGCCGTGATGCAGACACCCCTTCCCTACTCCAAGCCCCTAAACTCAGGGGTAAATGGAGGAACTAGACTGCCACCACCCCTGTCCCCTGCCAGGGGCAAGACAGGCCAGAGCAGCCTCCTCCCTCCTCCTGTGGCCGGGATCTTGAGCAGCAGAAGCTGCAGAGGGACTCACGGGGACCAT